TACCTAATCTACCCCCACCCACCTCCTCCACTCCCCCCCATCATCCCTGGCAACCACCCAGATGCTCCCCTCAGAGCTCCAAACACTTCCCCAAAGAGGCTATATACGGAGGTAAAATCACTTAAAGAGTATTTTCGGGTGCAGCCTAATCCTGTTTTCTCTAATTGTGAAATGCAAATGACCCCAGTAATATATGTACTGGATCACAGAACTGGAGATGATGATTTTTTTATTTTTGTAAAAAATGTTTCCCAGAATGAGAATCCAATAAAATTTTAACACTTGGTAAAAAACAAATTCATTCAGCTTAACTCAGTGGCATCAATAGCCAATCAAGCCACTAGCTAAAGATTGGAGGAGATCTCAGCTCATCAGGAATGCGTGAGGAGTATTCAGTTACCTGTACCCTGATAGAGCAACGCTCTGGTTCAGCTATTCACTTTATAATAGAGGTCATTAAATGTCTGAGGAGCAGCTTAAAATACTTGAAGTTTGGAAACCCACTGTAGCCCCTCTGGTCTTTAATGGAAGCAGACTCCATTTCCATTCAGGAGCAGTGAGCTGCCACCACACAGCTCAGCTGTGTTTAACATCCTAAGAAATGGAAATACATAATTGGCTTTATGGGATTGCTTCCAGAAACACTCGAATTGTGTTATTTATTGATTTTTATGCGACAAAAAGGGTAAGAACGGCCCCAACAGCCCTGAATGTTGACGACAGCTTCCAAAGGAGCTTTGAGTGCCTTCTGCTATGGGGTCCTGCAGCCCTCCTTCCTCACTCCGACCTCACAAATGGCAGAAGTGCTCCCAAATGCAGAAGGCCAGCCTACCTTCAGGACCTGTTCCAGGTTCTCCAGCTTGGCTTGGAGCTGGTGTTTCTCCTTCACAGCCAAATCGCGCTCTCCGGTCACAAGGGTGAGTTGGGGGTTGAGATGCACATACTCTGCCTTCACCTGCAAGTGGAAGGGATAGAGACAAGGAGGCTATCACAACACGCCTAAGAGCTGTGGGCATCTGTCCCCAGCTGGCATCCATTGCTTCCTCTTTAGGAGCAAAATCTTCAATTTCCTTTTAGAGGATCCTTCCCTCCCTCATTCTCCATCATGGACTGGAGAATGGACTGGGTCCAGTCCTACTGGGGGTGACTCCACATGACCAAGAGCTGGCCAATCAGCAGACGACCTCTGCCTTCCTCACTCCCACCTCTACCACAGCCTCGGTGATTGGTTCAGGGTTGCAAATGTGCCACAGGCCTGGCCAATCAGCGCAGTCCCATGCCCTGGGTATAGTGATTGGTTGGGGAAGTCACATGACACAATTGCATTCTGGGGACATGAGATCTTGCACTTGTATAGGAACCTGGAAGAACTCTCCCTTTTGCCCACTGAACTCGGAAAGTTAAAGACAGAAAGCTGGAACTGCTGTGGCCTTTGACATCGTGAGGGAAGAACCCATCTGAGAACATAGCCAATGAGACAAACAGAGAGATGCAGAGGGAAAAGCGGGATCCCCATGGCCTCATTTGAGCACCTAGATCAAGCTGAGCCTGAAGCTAATTGTCTTTTCCGTTTCAGTCACTTGGACCAATAGATTCTTCTTGTTTGCCTACGTCAATTTGCATAGTCTATCCCCTGTAACTATGAGCCCTAACAGATAAAGTGTTTTTCCATTGTCTATGCATATTAATTCTTGTCTAAAAATTCCACCTTATCTTAAAAGTGAATAAAAGTGCAATGAAATTCCACATGATTAGAATGGATTCCCCAATAAACCCAGAAACCACATAAATTCCATTCTCAGGCCACAACTCTCAGGGCCAAGTGACAAGCTTATTGGGAAGGCAGGTGCCATATTCAGTCTCTCTGCTGTTTGAAACAGGTAAGGGGAAGCTGTCAATGAAAGAAGTCACCATGGTTCCTTTCCCATTCATTTCATTGTAGGGACAAAACATATTTTAACCCAACGACAGCCTTGTAGTTTCTTTTCCCCCTCCCCAAGTGTAATGAATTATGGCTTCAATAGCAGACTAACATAATGTCATGCTTTTCAGCTGCAGAAGTCCTTTCTATTTCAAATACTTTCCGTACCAAGTGTTGGTTTAAACTGACAACTTCTGGGCCACCAAAAGAAAGGAAGGTACCCACTTGGCATTTGCAAATGGGAACGGAGTTACGGGAAAGCTGTTATTAAGAGGTCATAGAGAGGTCTCGTTCAAAGGAATGTTTTAATGCCATTCTGCTGCAATGTGATGTTATCAGGCAATGAACTTAGAGAAATAATCCAAATGCCCTGAGTGAAAGTGTCATGACCTATTTGAATTAAACCATCCTCTTTTCTGAACCTCAGTACCCTGGGGTGGAGGTTTGCAGAAAGCATCACTTCTTGTATCCTCGCTTTTCAAGAACATTAGACTTGGGAGTCATGCTTGAATGCCTCTAAATCCAGTCTCACACAGCAACCAGCATCATCTTTCTGAAATACCTGTCAGATCTTGCCTCTGCCTGCTTGAAACGTCCTGTGGTTTCCATGGGAATTAGAATAAATTCTAAACTCCCTGGTCGTCTAAAAGCCCTATCTATCTGCTACCCTGTTGCCACCATCCTGGGGACACCCTGGCCTCCTTCTGTCCCTTAAAGCCGCCGAACTTCTTCCCGCCCCGGGGCCTCTGCACCTGCCGATTCCATTGAAGCCACAGGTCTCTACCCCGCCCTGCCCCCACCAGCTCAGGTCTGACTCCTTATTAGGAGTCACCTCAGACAGGCCTTCCCAACCCATGCAAGGTGACAAAACCCTCATCCCCACCCCTGCCTCCATTCCCCTCCCTCCCCCACTGCCACACTTTGGGGTCCATATGTGCTCATCACTGTCCTCTGCTGCTGTCTGCCTTCTTCCTGTGGCTGCTCCCCACTGGAACGGATGTCCCACCCGGACAGGGGTTTTCTTTTGCCCAGAAATTCCCCATCTCAGAGCCCGGAGCAGCGCCTAGCAAGGAGTCAGTGGTCAAGCAAGACTTTTGTGCCGAATGGAATGGTGGGACTTGAGGAAAGTTCCAAGCCTGGAAAGGTGGCCCCGGCTCCTGTCAGCACTCCCAGACCTGGCCCCTCCATCATTTATCCCACTTTGTATCCCGAGAGGCCCATCCTCATTGCCTGCACCCCCTCCTTGTACCAGCCGGCTTCTGATAGGCTCACCCAGTGGGAGATGGGGTCAGGAAACAATGGATCAATGTGACACCCAGCCCCCAGCCCCCAGCCCTCCCCACTAGCCTGCAGGAGTTACACTGAGCTGCTCCCTGCAGAATGGTTGCTGACGAGCCTGACGCTTGGCTGGAGGCCTGGGGAGAATTCCTACATTCCCTAATTGATTAGAATGGCTTACTGAATCTAGGCCACTTGAAAAGACGGTTTACACTGAACACCTTTCCTTCTGGGAGTCTAGAATTAACTCCAAACTAGAATAAACTAGTGCTGGACAGAACGTGCCCATGTGACCAGCCCCTCAATAAAAACTCTGGTTGCTGAGTCCTGAATGGGCTTCCCTGATGGATGACGTTTCACACACATCACAGCTTGCAGCCGCGGGTCCATTAAGCGCCCTGTGTGATACTTGGGAACCCTCTTGGGAGATGACCTGGAGAGCCTGGACCTGGTCTCCTCGCGGCTTCCTCCTGTGTGCCCTTTCCCTTTGCCACCTGTGCTCTGTGTCCTTTTGCTGTAATCAGTCACAGCCCTGAGGGCAGCTGCGCACTGAGTGATGGAACCAGGCCACCCCAGCAGTGTCCTTCTACTGGAAGGGCCTCTCCCACAACTGCCTTCTGGTACCCACAGCAGGTGGCCACAGCCCCCGGCCTCTGCCGGTCTCAGACTTCCAAGACCCTTTGCAGGTGTCCTGCCCCACCCACCCACCAGTACCCACACCTTGGCTAGGACTTTCTTTTCTAAACTCTGCTCCATCCTCCAGCTAGCAAGTGCTGTCTATTTCCTGTTTTCACCCTGATGGGTAAAATCTCGAAAGAAAAAACATCTAACGGTCCAGAAGCAACATGACGGCTCAGAGGCTCCCTAAACAGGGAGTTTCTAGTTTGGGGAGGAATGGATTCAGACTCATGCTTCACAGAGAAGCCAACCTGGGTTTCAGGCTCCATATGCAGAACCCAGCATGAAGATGCGTTTATTACCCAGCGTTTTATAAGAGCACCGGACAGTCAGGAATTGCCCACTAAGGGGCAGCATCCAGCTTTGGTCAAGAACAGGCAACCTCCAACCTGCGGACAGACCGTCATTCCAGTGTGAGCCTGGAAAGAAGTCACCGAGCACCGGAACCCACTCTCCCACCAGAACGGTACAAACGGTGCCAGAAGTTAGAGTCCAGCTGGCCCCTAAATCCTATTTGCCCCAAAGTGGAGCTATGTTTCTGCAGGGGAAAATGTGGTGGCAATTGCAGTAACTTCACAGAAGGCAATAACAGGGGGAATGGATGGGTCTGTTGGCCTTGAAGTGATGCTCGTAAGGAAAGTAAAAGAATAGAAGCTCACGGAGGAAAGAGTCCAGGCAGCGTCCATGGAGGACCTCGGGGGCAAGTCAACGACATTTACTCTTTCTTGTTTGTGATGGAGTCTTGCTCTGTCGCCCAGGCTGGAGTGCAGGGGCACAATCTCGGCTCACTGCAACCTTCACCTCCCAGGTTCAAGGGATTCTCGTGCTTCAGCCTCCCAAGTAGCTGGGATTACAGGTGCATGCCACCATGCCCAGCTGATTTTTGAATTTTTAGTAGAGATGGGGTTTCACCATATTGGCCAGGCTGGTCTTGAACTCCTGGCCTCAAGTGATTTGCCTGCCTTGGGCTCCTGAAGCACTGGAATTACAGGTGTGGGCCACCGCACCTAGCCCAATATTTACTCTTTAATGGAGCTCATCTCATGTCACAACTATGGCTTTGCATTTGACTTAACATTCCCTATATTGTTGTCCTTTTGTTGACCAGGATGATGAAGGCCACGGCCCTGGTTTGCAACAAGGAGGAGAGGGTGTGTGGACCAGGAGGGGGCGGATAACCCAAGAGACTCATTTCCTGGATGTATAATGGCTGAATAATGGCCCCACACAAAGATGTCCACATCCTAGTTCCTAAAGCCTGCAAATATATCACTTTCTGTGGCAGAAGGGACCCTGAAGATGGGATTGCGTGGAGGGTCCTGGGAGTAGGTGAGCACCTGGGTTATCCAGGTGGGCTCTTTGTAGTCACAGAGTCTTTATCAGGAAAAGCAGAGTCAGAGATGAGAAAGGGAGAGCTTGGACCATGCTTTGCTGGCTTTGAAGATCGGAGAAGGAAGCCAAAAAAAGGCAATGGAAGACTTTCCCCCAGAGCCTCAGGAAAGAACATAGCCCTGCTGACACCTTGACATTAAGACTTACAACCTCCAGAGCTGTGAGACACAATGTAGTGTTTAGGGGAATTTGTCATAGCAGCAACAGACAACGGATGCAGAAGTCAGCTACACAGCAGTCTTCATCACCACAAGCACGCAGCCAATTTTCACTCTACGCCAGCAACTGACCCCTGTCCCAGGAAAGCCTAAGCCCCGGTGAGCTGGGCCGGACATCCCCTCACCCCTCCCCCTACCCTCAAGTAAGGGTCTGTCACTTCCTCTACTGGTGTGGCCCCCAGGGCTTCAGTCGCTCCCCTAACCCTGCCTGCACCTCCCTAAGAATGCCTAACAGCCTCCACAATTGCTTCTGGGGGATGTGCCATCTCTCTCCTGCTGGGACCAGACCAAGACTGTGTGTGACATGGTTCTGATGACCCTGGAGCAGAATTCTCTGGAGGACGATGACCTCTCATGAAACCATGAAACAGAGCTTCATGAGGAAAGCTTCAGCCCCCTCCCCCACCTTCTTCCTCCTGCCACAGTGGAGATGCAGTCCTTCGAGACGGAATACCCCGTCTCGGTGTC